GGGGGCGGTGGGGGGGGGGATTTATGGTGCCCGAGTTTAGTCTTGCCTAGGGCAGCTCAAAACCAAAATACACCACCTTCTGTAACGTCGGATTATAGAAGAAAGGAATGTGTGATATTTCTTAACATGACACTTCACAACTACATTGAGAGCATGTGATAATCAGTTATGTTTTTGGCAGGAAAGGATTACCATGGGCCCTCCTGTGGTTGGCCATGGGAAATACAGGTGCTGCCTACCATTGTCAGCAACCAGAACACTCTAGTACATACTGTCAGTGTAAACAGTACCAGAAACAGCAAAGAGGATTCTAAAAGAGGATTCCAGGACATCCAAAAGTTATTAACCCAGATTTTGTTTTGCTGTTTGGAAAACATTTATTAACTCGAAGTAGAAGAATCTATTATTGTTAATAAAAATAAAGTGTAGGTGGGCAATTCTGGTGAATCTCTCTACACACACAATATATGTATATATATATATATATATATACACACACACACACACACACACATATACATACACACACACACACACTAGAGATATATACACATATCTGTATGAAATTTTGTCTGAGCTGAGGCGAATCATAATTGATAAATTGCATAATTTGCCAGCAGCATTATTTCAAACTACAGCAACTTCAGGAGTTAAAACACCTATGTTTTAGCAAAACGAGTTAGGACAGGAACACAGCTACAGATGGTGAAATGACCGACATGTTTACTGAGCTGTAAGAAGCCAGACTTATGGCCCCTTTTCCACACAGGTGGTCTGATCGGAACCACCTGTCAGTTTTTCAGACAGACCCGGCCGAATGTCCTATTCGAGACGGATCAGTTCTCTGTTTTGACTGACCAGGACGGATCTAAACTGATGATCAGTTTACATCAGTTCAGGTTACGTCCGTTTTTTTGGGACTGATGTCGTAATACAGCCTTGGAAGCTCAATGCATGCTGGGGGGAAAGCAAAGAATCATGGGAATTTACCATAATAACAAAAGGCCCAAAACGGCCATGTAAAAAATGGATGTAAACTGAACTGACAACGGATGTGCAAACTGATGTAAACGCATATCGTTTTCATCATTTTTTTGTATCTGTGAAGCTTGACTGAACTGATGACGATCGTGTGAAAGGGGATTTAGGATTTTGCTCTTTTGCAATTTTATGCCAAAGACATCAATTTACTTACTATATGAAATCATTCAATAATCAAACTTGGGTGACAATCTGATTCTCCTTCGGATTAAAAAGCTCAAGAACAAAAAGCAATGTACAATGCAACGGTGTCTTTAAAATGACTAATGACATACAAGAAGAAGCAAACAACACACTTTTGTCTGCCTCTCATCCAGTATCCATTTAAAAGTTTGCGAATTTTCATTGCAGACTTGAAAAGAAATGGGCTCTCAACTGGCAGAAAACAGCGCAGGTTCAGTACTGATAGACCCGAAATGTCACCCACACAGCAAAAGGCCCTAAGGTTCATGAACTAAGGTCTGTGTAGGAACAGCCAGCCCATTGGGTGAACAAATGAAGCTCTTAGACTTCAGTCATCTAAAAGTATAATTATTGTTTATGTTCTAAAATAGCTTGTTCCTGTGTATAGCCTGCAATATACTGTACAGGCACATGTAGGCAGTTATAATTGTTCATTACGTGCAGACTATCCTGCCAAAGTGACTATGCTTTAGTGTCTGCACAAGTCTGGCTGACTAACAACAACAAACTTTTTATGAAGCTTATGCTGTAATCTCAGTGGTTGTTCTGTTGTCATCCTGCCGAATCACAGTGCCTAGAAATCTAAAAATCTTTATATGAAACACGATCACAATAAAAATTAGCAGTTACAATGCAAAAAATCTTTGTGTGACAAAAACATTGTAATGCAAAACGCATGATCAGTAAAAAATACACTATTCCATTTAAGACATGCATAGCACAATATTTATCCAATTTTGATGTTTAGTTTAGGGCACTGGACCTAAATCTGTCCTCAGATCTCCCCAGCGCTGCATGTTTGGGTAGCTTATTCCATATAACAGTCAGCACCATTAGTGTATCAGCAATGTCTTTTAGCTACATGTCTGCATCTACAAAGCATGCATTGTTTGTGCATGTGAACATCATGCAATACTATCTCTTGAAACCAATAGTAAAAAAGTGTCAAGTTCAAAGGAACACTGGCTATGTTCGCTAGAGTACAATGAAACTCGCTTACAGAAAAATTAGAAGACATCTTCCAAAATGACAACAAAAATGGAAGCACCTGTGCGTCACTGTCCCATTTCCCTTCAATGATGTGAAGCACAGCCAAGTTTAAAATAATAACTCTTCTGGCACAGCATGTAATGTCAACTTTATATGTGTAGGGTAAACAGTGCAGTTTGCAAGGTGCAGGAACCTTGGTACAGTTTCTAGTATGGTTTTGTTATTACAATTAACCCAGCACCTCAGTCTTAATTATGCTAGAAGACTAATCAAAAACACAAATGGCTTTTTACCAGCAAGGCAAGGCGTTATGACGCAATCCAAAAATCTATAGCCATGTTACCACCATGTATGTCACATTGTATTACATTATAATGGTAGACCACATTTCACATGGCAAATAGGCAACCTGAACCAACTTTCACACCTCAATCATATGGCACTTCCCTCCTGATTAATTTTACACCTAAAGTGACACTATACTCAGGAGTCAAATCCTAAAAATACATTTTTGTTAATAGCTGAGGTACTTGAATGCATCTTGTATGTGTATCACTCGGCTGTAGATCCTCAAATCATCTCTGAATTGCTGCTGGCACTGTCCTTCCTTCTGGAGGGTGGCTACTTTTGTTCCCCATGGTCCCTGTGTGTGTTGTAAAGTGGCCACCACTCCAAGCTCGGTCCCGTGATGGACTACAATCTCAATGCAAATTAGTAAACTAAACATGAGATTGTAGTCCATCACAGGAGTGAGCTTGGAGCGATTGTTGCCTGTGTGCATGAGGCCATACTGGTGTTGACCGCTACCAGTTATTGTTGGTCTTCAACAAGGCATAGCAAAACCTTGGACATGATTCTAGTGGAAACAATTTTTTTTTATATGAAGTGGTAGATGAAGTTTTAGAGCTAGGCGCCACTTTGTATGATGCTAGGGTGCTAAGAGACCCAGGAAACCAGAAAAATGCTACACTAAACATTGTATATACTCTTTTCACTTACCTCTCTTTGTCCTTTGCCCTTTCCTCCTCTTTTCCACTGCTCCTCCCCTAGTACCTCAATTACTGCTCATCTTCAGGGGAATATACTAGTACAAGGAACCTGTGCTATCTGACCTCAACTACAAGAAAGTAAGCTTCTAATACACATTGCCTTCAATAATGGGAAATTTATCAATTTGGTTGCATCATCAGCATCTTTTAAACTGTCGTATCCCTGATTTCTAGTGCATATAGTGACAGGTTTATTATCCTAGTTTATGCTTCATTCCTAAATGCCTTCATAAGGAGAATTCTCTAAATTGTCTCGGTCTCTAAACTGTCGCAAGCTTGCAGGGAACCTCCTGGATGACAGCTGAATAGTCCCAAAGTGCTCAGGTGACATAAGGGTGTGAAGCTGAATTATCTTTGGGGTACTTTAAGTGCTCAGGAGAATTTCTATAATGTGTGCCAGTTTGGAGATATTTTATTGTCGCAATTGCTGGATGCAAATACCACCCAGTTGAGAAATTATGCGACAAGACCACTTACTAAAAAGACACATAACAGAAATAAAACTTTGCGGTCGTTAACATGACATTTTGGTCTTTGCGCATGCTAATAAATTCCCCCCCTGATTCTTTGTAGAGAGTAGTTGTAGTCCTGAGACACAGGGTACTAGGAAGGAGACATAGGGTAAGTGTCCTTGGTGGCAGGGCCTAGAAACCCCATGACCTTTATAATTTCTCTAAATAATAATGAACACTTCTGATACTTCTCTTTACAATGTACTAATCTGCTTTGACAGCTGTTTTAACGACGGATAAGATTAGGAAAGAAATCACACAACATTTTTATGAATTACAAAGGAAAAGCCCGCGTAAAGCTGAAGGTTGACTTTAGCACCAAGAGGATTTAACAAATTAAACTCTTTTACTATGAATGGATCCCTGTTGTTTAGACATTTTTGAATCTACACCTACCTAAATCATCATTCTTTTGAGGTGTTGCAGCCTCTTCATTGGCTTCATTCGCCATGGATCGAGTGATACGTCCTTTGCGGCGGCCCTGGCTGTTGGCTGTTTTCCTCCCTTTCGATGTCACCGTTTCTTTGTCATCATTCTCTTCCCCAGAAGTGTCTTCATTTTTTTCCCTAAAGAATCCATCAAATAGAATTACATTTTTAAGTCAAGATATAAAGTTTTTAGGAGACAACAGTTTAATTCTATGTTATCTGTGCATGCCAGGTGATTTTTCTCCTCTGTCTTCTTTGCATTGAAAGAAAAAGGTGTTAATTTCCTGCAGAAACACCAGGTCAGCAGGCGAGTACATGAGTCCTTACTGTAGAGCATTTTCTCTATCTTGCATTTATATGGCTCGTGTCATGTTTAGGAAGGGATTACTGGTACCTAGAATTCCCCTCATATGAAAAGCCCCTATCCTATCAGTCACTGCAATAAGCAGAAATGTTTAATCATGCCAAAGCAATCATTAGATGAAGAGATAAAGTCAGCTGAAGATGAACTTGGCCTGGCCACTGCCACCTCCTAAGGCTCCCTATTTAAACCCTAATGTGATGAGCAGTGACCAACAAGTAGGCTTTGGGAACAGAAGGGGACTTTCACAGGAACAGTCTTTATTTGCATATAACTTAAAATGACTATGTCCCTGGATATACTGTGTTTTCCACTGCAAGTAAAAAACAGAAACACTGTAGATTGGAAGTCGACTTTACAAAGCACCTTTACCATGTCCTTGCTTCAAACCCACATTTTACAGCTTCAGTCTTCTGAAGAACACAGAACATTCAGGAATGGGACACACATGACATTATGTCAGCCCCCCAAATTTCAATGTTCAGGGTCTGAGTGGCCAATCACCACGCCTGAGCACGGTTATACTGGGGCAAGGATGGCATAAAGTTAACCTGGGCTTTGCTATGTAAACCAAAGAAACAGGTTTCACTCTAATGCAGACCTCCCTAGCAGCTCAAACATATCTTTTGTTCCCACGTTACTCTGTTCAGCTGCAAAATAAAAGAGCAAAGGTTTGCAATAACCCTTGTTGACCTTAACTTGCAGAAAGTTGAAACTTGGGAGAGGAAATTTCTTTTTAAGCGGCTCTGCCATTGCAGGAGCCTGTGGAAGGTAACAGAACTCACCTTATGTTTTGTTTTTTTGGGAGTAGATTCCCATTTTTTTTATTTTGGCTAGGGTGCCAGAGGGTTATAAACTTCTATATCCCCCAAAGTGGCAATAGATGGGCAGATGTTTCTCCAAGAACAACAGAAAGTGACATATCTGCTCATCCTCAAATAACTCAAGCGTCATAAGGATCTGCGGTGATGGAAGCAGCGTACATGCTGTAAAGGCCATGTTCCCTTTTCCCCACAGGAAAAGGAACAACTTACCTTCGATCACCAAGAGATTTTGTACAATCTCTCCAAACAATAATGGTCACTTCTGATGCTTGGAAAGGGCTCCAACTGACAAGTGATGCTCAAATTGCTTCCATTCCTTACTTTTATCCAACTTTAGTAAACAAAATTGGATATTACTTACTACTACTTTTACTTACTTTGCATTCATTTTTAACATCCCAGAAATAAGATCTTGTGAGTGGACAACATGAATCCTGTGTGATTTCTGTGTGATTTCTGAAATCCCCACCAGCAAGATCCTGCAATAGCACCTAAGCTCGGTCTAAAGACTGGCAATGGAAAGCACATTCATTCATTTCTGTATATTTGTATTAGTGCTCAAGGTCCAGCAGGAGCAAAATCCTCGGGCACAAATGAGATAATGGAAATACCCAAAGTATTCATATACATGTTCACAGCAGTTAACGCTACAGCCTCAGTGCACTAGGTCCTGTAATTGAATCCCACAAAGTATTACATATGAAGTTTCTATGGGTACTTTTTGTTTGCTTGTTTTTTTTGTAGATACTTTGATTTCCTCCCACCACCCAAAAACATACAAGTAGTTTAAAGGGAAGCTGTGCTGAGGCAATATAGCTGCAGCCCTTGCTAACCTTTGTAATGCTAGCTGGTTGTCATGATGATCCGCTAGCTTTAATGCTTTTTGAGGCATTGACCTGGTTCAAGTATGACGATCAAGAGTTCCAAGTTCACTTTCACTGTCCGATCTGCATGCTTTCTCCAGATCAATGACAGGACTGAAGCCAGAGAACGAGTATTCTTAGGAGATCAGCAATGGCAGTTTAAGTCTTAGTTTTATTTTGATAAAAGACATTGAAACTCAGTATAATAAATAGCTATATGACCTTCACACAAAAATGGTAGACCTACTTTGTAAGTTCCTCTTTGTCATTCTCCACATCCTGCTTAAATTCTTCTTTATCAGGTTCCTTTTCTTTTTCATCTTTCTCTTCCTGGGTATTACGGGGCATCTGCTGCTAAAGAAAGAACAGTCAATGTTAACATACATTATTACTGGTTTCACTTTTTAACGAATAATAAAGCGGAAAGGTCTTAAATGATGTAAGCACAGGGTCTTCTCAATTGCAGAATACTCCCTATAAATTGCTACATGACAGTTATGTGGTTCATGGAAAGAAACCATTTCTATCAGTATTCTGACACATTCCATTAGAAAAAAAGACTTTGAAGGAGGAGTGGCCAAATTAATCTTATTTAGAAGGTATACTGCAATGCAAGTAGATCTATAGAGAATAACAAATTTCAGGAAACAATACTATTGTAATTTATGACCTGCTGATTCTATTCAAATTTGCATCCATAATTTCAAGTGAATACCAATGTTCTATATTTAAAGTGAATCTAAACCCACAAAATGTAATATATTGCGGCTTACCAGTCCTTAGATGTGGTGGCTGCACAAGTTTTCTTTTTTTAAGATTCTTTCCTAAATTTTCACCTGCCAATGCTGCCAGTAACACATTTCCTGTCCAAGGGTGACAATACTAAGACACTACTAGGTGTATCTTTGGGAAATCAGCTGTGTCACCTTAGGACAGGACTACAAAACACCTCTACCTTTCTGCTCATCAAAACAGAAGGGATAGGCATTCTGTAATGTACAGAGAGAACTGGTAACAATGTTGGTTGATAACAGTCAGCAGAGGCAAAAGAAGAAAGGAAGTTATCAGCTGGTGGAACAGATATTAAAAAATCTTACAATTGTATATTTAAAATTGTATGTAAACCCTAACAAATGAACTTTTGCTTGCCTTTGGTCAGTTAAATATACCATTGAAAACATTTTGTTGGTTCAATAAGCGATAAACGAGAACAGAAGAGAGGAAGGTATTGTAGAGTGCTGTTCTAAGGTGACAACAATGCTTCTCCGTAGATACATGCATGGCGAGTGAGTGCTGTCACCCTAAGACAGGGAAGTGTGATACTGTCAGGATCACCAGGTAAAAATAAAGGGAAATAAATCTGAAATGATAGAACTACTGCAGCCACTGCATCTAAGGAATGGCAACACTTTAACAGACCAAAAGGGAGCAAATGAGAGTAGTTCATTGTTGAGTTAACATACACTTTAACCACTGTAGCCATACACTTAAGTGAACAACAGCACTGACTGGACCACCAAAACTGCCAATGCATGGTCACATTTACTATCATTTATTTACATTTGGTAAGATGGGTGAATTAAATCCCAATACCCACTTTTGTATTTTAAAGAATTAAATGTTTTAAAAAGGTTTTAATTCATCTTGTGTGTGTTGCTAGAACGCTTAGTGATAATCTGTCATCAGGAAGAAACACATAACCCACTAAAGACAGCATGACATCATTGTGGAATTTGTCTGGAACAGACGCCATGCAATTCCAGTGTTCATCAGAACAGCTGTGGAAGTCATTACATTGCCTAAGCCATATAAACCAACACAGGTTGGGATGTGGTATACAAACAAGAACAGTCTGAAAGAATAAAAATCATTTATATGTGCTTTGTGGTTAATATATAAATGCACTCAGCCAACTATAGACACAGTCATATACCTAGAGAGTATACAGGACAAAGGACTTGATACCCAGCTGTGCATTAATAACACCATTTAAAAAACAACTGTACCATACACAGTGTAAAAGACATCAAACTGAATTTTAGCCACTGGCATGTCTGTGATCAGCCATGCTTGATAATCACTGCTATGGATTTTCACTCGAGAGTTTATCTGCAAATGTTTGGTATACAAAATATCCCATATCACAGAAGCAAAGCTAGCAGCAAGTTATTCCCAAATTCTACTAATGGGTAGTTGCTCTGCCCAAAGATTCAGTCAAACTCAGGCAGCTTATGCTGTGCTGTCTCTAAGCAGCCCAATAGGTATGCTGATAATATCCAATTCCAGGCTTTATAGCAATACATATACTGGGGGCTGTACACTAGCACTGAATAATCCAAAATTAAAAGGCTTATTGTAGCACGCATAGGATTAGCCTCTGCAGGAGTCCTTAGTAGGTGCAGAACAAAGTTTGTGTGGTATAGGAAGTAATTCAACAATTATTATAGCAAAATCATGGCAAATCTGTTAAAGGAGAACTATGAGGTGAGTGATTTTCGCTCAACCTCATAGTTCGAGCCGATGTGTGACAATGAGACTGTCACACTTCGACTCAATAGATCGGGAACTGAGTGTATGCATACCGCTCGCTCACTTCTCGATCATCTCCCTGCAGAGAGCCGTGGGCGGGTACAGCTGGCTCTGCCTCTAGATAGGCAGAGCCAGCTGTCACTCATGCAGCTGGGTGGGATCTGTCCCGGCTGCTGCAGTCTCAGTATACCGCGAGCTGTAGCTCGCGATATACTGAGCTTTGGGTCACGGGAAGACGCTAGTTTATGTCCTCCCGTGACCCTGAGGAGCACTATGGGGGAAAACACTTACCCCATAGTTCTCCTTTAACCATGAATATATTTGTAGATAAGAGTTGAAGTTTAACTATGGGCAAAAATCACAAATGGCACACATCCGTTTTTGGGTTTCTCCTTTGTAACACTGTTTTATTTCCTATTGGTTTCTGTCAGTAAATTTACTTAATCAATTCCTTTAACAGACAAAGCTGTTCAACGAAAGTCTCAGTTAGGGCGTATTCACATTCATTTGGATGGGCTGTCTCGGGCCCCTTCACACAGGGGGCGTCTATTCCAATCAGCAGGTGATCAGTGCCAAGTTTCCCTGCTGATCAGGGCAGTATAGAACTGATGTCGCTTTTGTGTCCATTCATGTTTTCGTCTATCTTGCAAGAACAAAACTGCACCAACTGGACCCATGTTAGGTCTATGGGCAGTCAGATGTCTGTTTACTTCTGATTACCTCTGATCAGTCCTGTTAAAGCAGAACTGTGTTCCATTTTTTTTTTTTCAGACCTAGATGGACTCAGAGGTCAGTACGTTTTCGGATGATAACCCTGCAAACCAGGGTTCAGCTCAAGCCGAATGAGCAAGAGGGAAGAATCATTTCTCATCAGTTGCCCTATCCAAAGATTTAGTCAAACTCAGGCAGCTTATGCTATGCTGTCTCTAAGCAGCCCACAGTGCTCTGGAAATCGTTGATCATATATAACATTTTGTAAACATAGATCGTCAATATATAGTTTAAAAAAAAAAACAACATAAAACAACAGTTGTTAGGCCCCATTCACACCTATGCGTATTGTAATATGCGCGTCTGTCGCGCGACCGTCACGCGTTTTTTTCCCGCGATTCGCGGTAAAAAAGTCGCGCGACCGTCGCGCGATTCCAAAGGCTACTTGGCAGTATACAAATGGAAAACGCCCTACAAAACGGACCAATACGCAGCAAAAAACGCTCCGGGACCTTTTCATGCGTGGGCCGTTTTGTAGTGCGTTCGGGACGGGCGGAAATACAGACAGGTGGGAACGATACCATTGACTACAATGCTATTTATTTTTTTGACCGTTTTGTAGAGCGTTCATCGAGCGTAGGACGCGCTACAAAACGGTCAGGTGTGAATGGGGCCTTAGATGTGGAAACTAAAACAAATCTGGAAAAAACCTTATGAACAAAATCTAACATTAAAACGAACCAAAATCAGTATGGTTTTCATTTAAGTGTACTACATAGTGTTCTCCATAATGATACTCCCAGCCTGCTTTTAAAAACAAAGCATGTCCCTGAAGGCTCCACATGCGATGGTCATTATTTTCTATGGTACTCTATGTGCCAGTCTTTTTAAAGAGGGCTTGGAAATATGAACCGAGGAACACTGTGCCAAACTGGGCAGGCTTGGAGTACTGGGAAAAAGGATCACTACAGTTAAGTGGATGCCAGACTAGTAAAGCAAGGATATGGATGATGCCCTGGAATCAGCACTTTCAAAAACAGGTCAGCAATGGCAGCTCCCCGACAGTTCAATTTTAACTTATCAGGCTGCTTAACATTGATATTTCAGCTTTTGTTATATACAGAAGCGTTAAAGAATACGTTCATTTTCAGAGAAAGTGCACTTATTCTTTTTGCCCCCCTCCCCCTGACCTAGCAGATCCCATCCTCCACCACCAATGCATACTTACTGAGATCCAGGATCACCTGTGTTTGTCCCCCCCCCCTCGAACTCCCCTTTCTGCTGGCTGCATCTACATAGTAGAGCCCCATAGACTTCTATGGGCTAGTCTACCTCCATCTCCCAGCCCAAGAATGGAGTAGGGAATGGTTAAAACCCCTGTCAGCCGAGGAGTGTAACCTTCTCCGCTTCTATATCCCCTTTTTTTTGTCTGTTATTGTTTTGTTTATGTGGATATTTCCTATGTAAACATGTCTATTGTAATTTGTATTGAAAGTTGAAATACCTTCATAAAATCAGATTGAACCAAAACCCCTGTCAGGCTTTTGACACCTGTGTCCTATTGGAACAATTTCCTGTAACTTTCTGTCTTTCAGACACAACAAAAAGAAGGAAATCCTCTCTAAAGGTGCCCATACACCTGCCGATTATCGTACGATAATCGCGGGTGATCTCGTGATCGTACGATAATCGGCAGGTGTATGGAAGGCTGTTTCTACTGTACAGTCGAACGTCTTTTGTCTCCCGAGCAGGCTTGAAAAGCTGACGAGAATCGTACGATTTTCGGCGGGTTGGTGGCGTTCTCGGGAGACAAATACCGCACGGGCCGTGGTGCGCAAGCGCACACTGCCTGTGCGGCATTTGAATCATCGGAAGCCCTCCCCTCAGCGGGGCGGGTTTGCGATGATCGCAAGTACCATCTGCCTGTCCAAGATGGGCAGATCGTACGAGCTTTTAATTACTTTACAACCATCGCACGATGAAAGTCTTGCGATGGTTATAAAGTGTATGGCCAGCTTTAGACAGTTTTTCCCTATTAAAGTATCCCTATTAAAAGATTTTGCCTCTATTTCTGCACACCTACTGTGGTCATTATTATTATGAGTTATTAT